ATGCACAGGACTGCAGCAAAGCAAGTTGCTTCACTTGGGTTCCATATATTACCCTGCAAAATGTAAAATAACTGCCAATTCCTTGGGTGTAACTCCTGAAGCCTAGCATTTCTTGTATGGAATGCTTCAACTTTCACATCTTTTTTTGCCCTTAACAGTTGTATGTTATCTAAGACACATCTTTGAATAGATCATTATAGTTAAGAGTAGTCAAATAATATGTTAGTAGGTTAATTTAATTTAATTTAATTTAATTTAATTTAATTTAATGACCAGAGTTTGAAGTCTTTTTTGATCATTGCTTTCAACAGTGCCAGCCAGAATTGAGATCGGATACTAACTTTTTGCAAAAGAATCAATAGACACAAATTTGACATTAGGACCCAAAACCAAGGACAAAGTAATGTCAGAGCATTTTCATCTCCCAGGACACTCTATTGCAGTCCTCAAAGTGACTATTTTGAGTGAGTGGTTGCTGAAGTGACATACAGCTAAAGGTTTCAAGCAATCACAGAAAGTCTCAACAAACACAATGACTTTTTAACACACTATTATTGTTTAATCATAATTTAATTTATATGTAAGCTGCATCTGAGTAACCAACATCTTTCCCCTTTCTTCACCCTGCCTCACCTCAGTTTAAATCCTACATAAATCTAGTCACTCTATGGATCTGATGAAATGAGTTTTCAATGACATTTGCAGGACAGTAAAAGAGCTATCAAACTCCTTATTTTATTTTACCAATACAGACTAACACAGCTCTCCACCTGCAGAGGAGGAGCACCACAAGAAGTACTATGTTCAGCCAGGTGGAACTCAAATCTTACCAAAAAATTGACACGGGAACGAACATTTTTCTAACCAGATTCAAACAACGTGGCATCATACATATTCTATTGTCTATATACTGCACAGAATACAGTCAAAGATAAGCCCATATTCTCTCCCAGGAACTCTTCAACTATCTGGTCAGCATCCTTTACCACAAGCAAAAGTTAGTATCATAGCATTTCAACCTCCCAGGACATTCTATGGCAGATCTCAAAGTGCCAGTTTTGGAAAAACAGGACTTTAAATCCATCACTGAACGAGAGGTTACTGAACTTGCGTATATCAAAAGTTTCAGCAATCTCAGTGAGAAACGCAGAGTTTTTTTAACCCCTACAAATGCCAACTGATAGGTACAGCCTAACTAACCCGTTTTGCCCTCCCTTCCCCTGCCTCAGCCCAATTTAAATCCTACATTAGTCTGGTGAAGTGAGTA